CTAATCAGTCCATGTCATGCATGGTCCTAATTTGTCACCATTTGTCTCTGTGTTGAATAAAAGCAGGAAATGTTCCACAACTATGTGTCAGATGGGGTGGTTTTCTTTAAAACATTGTGGCTGTTTATTTTAAGAGCAGCAGTCATTATGTGCAGGCAGGAGCAGCTGTCATCTTTTTTACAAATGATGCTGCCTAATTTGTGAAGTAAATCCATCATCACAGCATTGACTGAGATAACCTAGAGAACTGGCAGCAGTGTGGTGGCTGCTACGCTTCTCTTTTTAATTACTTTTGCGTCTATTTGATGCCATATGTTTCAGAATCTGTTTTTTTTATTTTAAGCTTACATCAGGGGTTTGCAGCAATTCTTCATCAAGAACATAGACACATTTGTGTGATGCCTATGACAAGCAGTAAACACATTTCTTTTTCAGTGCTCCACACAATACATTTAGACCACTTAATGAGTTGAGGCGATGTCTCTTGGTGATGTGAGCCTAATCCATTACATTAGTGAATTTGCCCAAATAAGTGGATGAGTAGTGAAGAAAACTTGAGTGAAGTGAGGCTGATACAGTTAACCATTTGTTTTCCCATTTCTATTCATAGAGTCGGCATGTTTCTCATCTTTTTTTCGCACTTAAGAGTATTCTGCAAAAATACTGACACTTTCTCATCAAGTCTCCAGCAAGGGATGAATTTAATTTGACAAAGCAGCAAAGCCATGCATTGACTACTTCTGAGTCTGCCACATAATGCATGCTAACCCCAAAAGCACTTTGCCCCTTCTACTTGCCTTCTGGAAGAGGCTTTTATTAAACCTTGCTCTAAAGTTCTGAAGCTTATAAAAGGGTGGAAAACAAGGTGATTATCATCTGCATGGTGCTCCAAAGCCCGGGGCAAGATGAGTGCAAGAGCTAGCATGCTTGCAGACAAGACCGCCTTTGAGGGGGGTTAGGAGGGTTAGCTTTCTGGACCCATTAGGGTTGGGTTAAGCTTAGTCTATGATAAATATTAGCATTTATAACCAATTCAAACTAATATTTCTGCTTTAAATAGGTAAACCCCCTCTTCTTAAAATGGCATGAACACACACCTGCACAGTGTCAGGATACCAAAAAGAAATGAGGCATTTGACCCCAACAATAACTTGTAAGCAAACTTTTTTCAATAACCGCTAAAGGTTAATTGGATCCAGGCAGAGGAGGAAATGTTAACGAGGAGGCTAACACTGCAACTACTTACTACAAACTAACTGATCCAACACGTCTGTAAGGACACTATTGACATGTGTGGACTTACAGGGACCCAGATATTTCTTTAAGCTGGCCTGCTTGAAAAGTTTTGCCATACATCTCCAACATCCCACTGAGGAGCAAGGAATGTGGCACTTGGTTGGGGCTATACGTTCATATCCTAACTGGTTGCTTTTTGGCTAAATCTTTCAGAATAATGACAGAACCCTGGAATCAGTATACAGCTGTTGTTATACATAATGACGCAGAAGAAACTGTAGAAATATTAATAGAAATAAAAAATACAACAATAAGTATTGAGAGTTTTAATAAATAAGCAATATAAAGAAAAAGTGCAGAATTGAATAGAGACTCGCCGATTGGGAAAATTAGGGACGATTCCCATCTTTGTTTCATGACTTCTGTTGGTGTCAGACTCCCACAATGCAACATTTTCAGCAGATGTCAGCATTAAACTGATTTGGCTCAACAGATAAACATCACGTACTGAGGTCGGTTAATGCCACATTATGTGCCGATATCTGTCTACGGAGGCCGATGTTGAACTGATGCATCGCTGCTTCCCTGGTATTGATGTTGTTAACATGTGAGAAAATGTCATTTAATTTGTTCCACTTGTGGTAATGTTCTCTGTCTTTCATTAGAAAAGAAAATCACAGCCCCTTCCTCAGAACACAAGCGAACATGAGACGTTCTGTCTCATTTTGATTAAATGAGCAAAAGACAAAGCAAATTCAGAGTCTCTGCCTTCACTTCTCCATTAAGATAGAAGAAACACACTAGCTGCCAATTTCATGAAGTCTGATTATTATGTATTTAAACATTCTAAAGTGAAACACATTATTCTGTCAAGAATTCCACAGAAACTGCTGTAAAGTCAGCTGTGCAAACTGATGCTTAAAATGTATTTTCTCCTGTAGTCCATTTGAACTTATAACAATCTATTATAGATTCTCTGATGATATTCTTCTTTATGTCCTGAACATCTATTATAGATTCTCTGATACTCTTCTTTATGTCCTGAACATCTATTATAGATTCTCTGATACTCTTCTTTATGTCCTGAACATCTGACCTGAGTTTATTTTAGGTTTGGGGCGATTGGTCTTTTTCTGGGAACCTAAAGCAGCTTTTTCTCTCCGTAAACATCTGAGTGATCATTTCTATGTCAGGCTCCCACTTGAACCTGTTGTGTCAAACAGTTTGATTTATTATGCTTATAGTTTTAATTTAAAAGCAGAAATCTTCAGGAACATGAGTCTGTGTCCATCCCTGACCTTCCACCTCCCTGTGACAGTCGGTTCTGTAAGCTAATAAAACCTCAGACCTGGTGTGAGATGAGTCTGACTGCAGCATGTGTCTCGTAGCGAGTGTGAGTCAGAGTCGCGCTGCTCCTGTCAGCGAGAGCAGGAGGGAGCTGAACACCCTCAGGCAACATGCTCTTTGAATCAGCTCACTGCATTGTGTGTGTGTGTTTGTGTTTATTCTCAGGTGAGTTCATAAAGACGTGTGTTTGTTTCCATGGCAGTATACCTGCACATACATCAGAGTTTGTGTATGTTAAAGTTTCCCCCAAAGACTGACCTCCTCCGATAAGGAGATGTTAAACTGACAGGTCATAGCAGTATGTGTGTGTGTGTGTGTGTGTGTGTGTGTGTGTGTGTGTGTGTGTTGAGAAACTACAACATGTGTGCCACTCTTTCCCCTGTGAACTTGAGAGTTTCACAGTGAGTCTTTAATGTACAGCTGAAACAGATACTCAGAATAGTGGGATGAAGTTGTTGCTTCTCGGTTGACGCCTTTTTTGACTTTGATGAAAAGTTGCTCCCCCGTTGCTGTGTGTATCAAAGTGTATTTTAATTATGTGTTGCAGTTTTTATGAAAAGGGGATTATAAAAATTATTGAAAAATAGTTTAAAGAACATTTGAAAATAGATTTACACTTGAAGATTTGTATGTTCTGTCTTTCTTTGCAGCTTGAATTGGAATTTATAAACTGTGTTTCTTTTTTTTTTACAGGAAGTAGGACTGTGAAAGAACATGAACCCAGCATCCTGTTGTTAATTACTAACTCAGTCCTTTGGAGACAAGACGTTGGGAGCATGTCCGGCTCTTAAAGCCAACAAAAAGACATGGGAAGGGATTACAAAGCCAGTGTGTTTGGAGTATTTAGGGACAAAATAATGAAAATATAAAGGTTGTTGTTGTTGTTGCTGTGATCGGTTAGTCATAGCATAAAGATTATCTGTTTCCAGACAAGATAAGAGACTCTGAGAATCAGTTTTGATTGCCGGTCTTAAAAGCTAAATGTTGAAGAGATTATAACAGTAATCATCAGAAGTCTCTGTGGGGAATGATTGTTCCTTCATGGCTTCTCAGGCAAACCAGTTCAACAGATGGGTTATTTGTACCACTGCTATATATGGTGTTTCTCCAGCTACAGAGGATTTATGCTGCAGTACTAAGGCTGGCCACTTGGAGTAAAGTTGTCTTCATTAACATATAAGCATGGCATATCTTATTTTAATAAGATGTAATGTTAGTGTTCACAAAGTGATTCGGTTTCTGAAGTATTCCAGTTGACCAAGAGGCTTGGGCCCACAAGTGCACGGAGAAACAGGTATTCCCTTAAAGTATCATAAACAGGTATATGTGTGTGTTTTACAGAACTCAGGAAAAAACCTGTAACTTATTTCTCCTTTATTAAATCATCTTTTTGAACTTCCTTGTTTACATTTTTAATTTCCAGAGAGCTAAAGTTCCACACATGAGCTTTAAATAGAACATATCATGAGAAAAAGACAAAGTACAGCGATAGTTCTGTTACCTTCTCAGACTTGAAATCTGGCAGCGTGGTTTGAATAAGCCGAGTTCATAAAAGGTTTTCTTCAAGTTCCTGTATGAATATTTAAGGGAGCTGCCCAGTGCAACCACCATCTGCTGTTCCACATCACCAGGTCTAAGGATGCACTTTGCTCTCCGCGGCGCTTTAACAGTCTGTTTGGGAGGAGGATGGCGGCTCTTTAAATGTGGAAGAACTCACCAGAAGGGCAAAAAAGTCGAGTCTAAAAAATGATATATTTCTCCAAACAGACCAAGTTTCTCCCTTTTTATATTGTAATTTGCTTTATTCAGTGTTTTGTTTTCCTTTCTAAGAAGAAGGTTTCAACACAAAGTTTAGACATTGAATTAAAAAACGTTAGTAGCATCTGTTTTCACTTTGTGGCGTTTGCACTCCTACTAGCTACAGCCTGCAGGGAAAGATGTGATGTACAGGCTCTGTTCACCTGTTGTCTTAAATTGACGAGTGTTTCATTAAACCAGGACTCCACAAGCTTTATTTACTGAACAGTATACCACACTTTGATTTAAATTAACCATTATGACCTCATGACGGAGGTCAGCGTCACTGTATTTCCCAGCACAGCTTGCAAAACACAACGAGGGGTAAAGGTGGCGGCTGTTGTCGTGGTGATGACGGTTTGTGCCTCAGTATTTTGTACTGGTATTTTGGTCACACCAGTAGAACGGATGCTGTCAACTTTAAGAAGAAAAAATAGGACTTGAAGTGTGTCGTACACATCGAATTATACGGTAACTTATCGCTAAAGACAGGCTTTCCTAATCAGACATTTAAGAAAACACCACTGAGAGGGATAAAGCCCCCTAGAGGCCCTGAGGAGGACTGCACCCTGTCTGTGCTGTTATCGTTTATGTCCATGTTTCTCTGTTGTCCCACAGGCTATGTGTGCATCCTTCAGTAAAATGCCCTGATAGCTGGACACTTATGAACGGACATGGAGGCACTCAACGCCACACGGGACGACTTCCTGCCCGATGATGACCCCGGAAAACTTGTGTTCCAGGACTTCGAACAGATAGCCGGTGCAGATCCACCAGCATTGCCTACGTTGGTGTCTGAGGGGGTGGATTTTCCAGAGGACCCCATTAAACTGCTGAGTGTTCAGGTAGATATATCCAGACGGGAGCTAAAGAAAGAGACTGGAAACCAGTATGAAAGTCAGATCTAGGATGATTGATTAGTCATGTCTGACTCTCTTCTGTACAGTAAGATGTTTTTTAATTTGTAGCTTTTGCACGAAAGTTTAGTGTTTCTGTGTGAACAAAAGAAAATCTCAATCTCTGCAGGGAACTATAAAACGTTTTAAAGTAATCTCCACAGTGGACCTCTACAGTTCACATCACTTCAAGTAAAAAGTATAAATGTCTTATTCAGCCTGCACTCCTCCTAATATATATGAAATATTTCTTATTCAGCAGAAGAAGCTCAGTCTGTAGGGAACCGGATGGTTGGTCTGGTATCTGGTAAGATACCAGGTCACTTCCCAAGTACTGTTGAGGTGCCCTTGAGCAAGGCCCTGAACCCCCAACTGCTGGTGTGCCCCCCCCCCCCCCCGGTCTCTCAGAAACAGAGTGTAAACCTGAGTGTCCCTCAGGGTTAATAAAGTATATATATGTATAATCCAGCTGTTGTTCTCTCTGCAGGTCGTGTTGATTCTGGCTTACAGCACCATCATCGTGCTGGGGGTTCTGGGTAATTCTCTGGTCATATACGTCATCTACCGCTTCAAGACGCTTCGCACCGTCACCAACTTTTTCATCGCCAACCTGGCAGTTGGTATGTTTACACACACACACACACACACACACACACACACACACACACACACACACACACACACACACACACACACACTCACTCACACACTCACACACACACACACACACACACACACACACACACACACACACTCTCTGGATGTCAGGGAGGGTTTTCAGGCTGTGCCAAGGCTGATACAGAGCTGTAGTGTGTGTGTGTGTGTGTGTGTGTGTGTGTGTGTGTGTGTGCTTGCCCTCTGTAGGTCGTCTGTGATGATGACTCAAACATCTGTCAGCTGTTATATTCAATCTTTCTGTGAGACGGAGAGATGAAATCCAACGTTTATTTATTTGACATTCACAACGACAGTGAGTCCCTAACCCCTAACGTGTTACAAGTTACCCTGTAGCTGCTCGCTGACGTGTTTCAAGTTACCCTGTAGCCGCTCGCTGACGTGTTCAAGTTACCCTGTAGCTGCCCGCTGACGTGTCAAGTTACCCTGTAGCGCTCGCTGACGTGTTTCAAGTTACCCTGTAGCTGCCCGCTGACGTGTTACAAGTTACCCTGTAGCCGCTCGCTAACGTGTTACAAGTTACCCTGTAGCCGCCCGCTGACGTGTTTCAAGTTACCCTGTAGCTGCCCGCTGACGTGTTTCAAGTTACCCTGTAGCTGCTCGTTGACGTGTTTCAAGTTACCCTGTAGCTGCTCGTTGACGTGTTTCAAGTTACCCTGTAGCTGCCGTGACGTGTTTCAAGTTACCCTGTAGCCGCTCGTTGACGTGTTTCAAGTTACCCTGTAGCGCTCGTTGACGTGTTACAAGTTACCCTGTAGCCGCTCGTTGACGTGTTACAAGTTACCCTGTAGCCGCTCGTTGACGTGTTTCAAGTTACCCTGTAGCCGCTCGCTGACGTGTTTCAAGTTACCCTGTAGCTACCCTGTAGCGCTCGCTGACGTGTTACAAGTTACCCTGTAGCCGCTCGTTGACGTGTTACAAGTTACCCTGTAGCTCCCGCTGACGTGTTCAAGTTACCCTGTAGCCTGCTCGTTGACGTGTTACAAGTTACCCTGTAGCTGCTCGCTGACGTGTTTCAAGTTACCCTGTAGCTGCTCGTTGACGTGTTTCAAGTTACCCTGTAGCTGCTCGCTGACGTGTTTCAAGTTACCCTGTAGCTGCCGCTGACGTGTTCAAGTTACCCTGTAGCGCTCGCTGACGTGTTTCAAGTTACCCTGTAGCTGCCGTGACGTGTTTCAAGTTACCCTGTAGCCGCTCGCTGACGTGTTACAAGTTACCCTGTAGCCGGCCGCTGACGTGTTTCAAGTTACCCTGTAGCTGCTCGTTGACGTGTTTCAAGTTACCCTGTAGCTGCTCGCTGACGTGTTTCAAGTTACCCTGTAGCTGCTCGCTGACGTGTTTCAAGTTACCCTGTAGCTGCTCGCTGACGTGTTTCAAGTTACCCTGTAGCTGCTCGTTGACGTGTTTCAAGTTACCCTGTAGCTGCTCGTTGACGTGTTTCAAGTTACCCTGTAGCGCTCGTTGACGTGTTACAAGTTACCCTGTAGCTGCTCGTTGACGTGTTTACAAGTTACCCTGTAGCCGCTCGTTGACGTGTTTCAAGTTACCCTGTAGCTGCTCGCTGACGTGTTTCAAGTTACCCTGTAGCTAACCCTGTAGCTGCTCGTTGACGTGTTACAAGTTACCCTGTAGCTGCTCGTTGACGTGTTACAAGTTACCCTGTAGCTGCCGCTGACGTGTTCAAGTTACCCTGTAGCTGCTCGTTGACGTGTTACAAGTTACCCTGTAGCTGCTCGCTGACGTGTTACAAGTTACCCTGTAGCTGCTCGTTGACGTGTTTCAAGTTACCCTGTAGCTGCTCGCTGACGTGTTTCAAGTTACCCTGTAGCTAACCCTGTAGCTGCTCGTTGACGTGTTTCAAGTTACCCTGTAGCCGCTCGCTGACGTGTTACAAGTTACCCTGTAGCCGCTCGTTGACGTGTTTCAAGTTACCCTGTAGCGCTCGTTGACGTGTTCAAGTTACCCTGTAGCGCTCGTTGACGTGTTTCAAGTTACCCTGTAGCCGCTCGTTGACGTGTTTCAAGTTACCCTGTAGCCGCTCGTTGACGTGTTTCAAGTTACCCTGTAGCCGCTCGTTGACGTGTTTCAAGTTACCCTGTAGCCGCTCGTTGACGTGTTAGTTTATAAGTGTAATGAGGACACATTTTACTTACAGCTCGTTTGAGAAATGCAACAATAATTTAATATTCTTGATTTGTCTTTAAGGATGAAGGTTTCTTACAGATAGCTAAATATCAAAGATACTCAGACTGAAGTTTTCAAGTTACCCTGTAGCCGTCGTTGACGTGTTTCAAGTTACCCTGTAGCTGCTCGTTGACGTGTTACAAGTTACCCTGTAGCCGCTCGTTGACGTGTTACAAGTTACCCTGTAGCCGCTCGTTGACGTGTTACAAGTTACCCTGTAGCTGCTCGCTGACGTGTTTCAAGTTACCCTGTAGCTAACCCTGTAGCTGCTCGTTGACGTGTTACAAGTTACCCTGTAGCTGCTCGTTGACGTGTTACAAGTTACCCTGTAGCTGCCCGCTGACGTGTTACAAGTTACCCTGTAGCTGCTCGTTGACGTGTTACAAGTTACCCTGTAGCTGCTCGCTGACGTGTTACAAGTTACCCTGTAGCTGCTCGTTGACGTGTTTCAAGTTACCCTGTAGCTGCTCGCTGACGTGTTTCAAGTTACCCTGTAGCTGCCCGCTGACGTGTTACAAGTTACCCTGTAGCCGCTCGCTAACGTGTTACAAGTTACCCTGTAGCTGCCCGCTGACGTGTT